TCTGGCTCCTAAGCACCACCACGCCCCCCCCCCACTTCCTCCTTTTTCCCCACCTGGCCCGAATCACCCTGACCTGAACTCATGGGGGCTGACAGCAGCCATTCCCGCCACACACAACTCTCTTTCCACTCCCTGTTGTCCAATTCTGTCCCTTCTGGCTGTCCCTCCACAGCCACCCTGGACTCTCCATCCTTTCCGAGTGCCCCTTCGAGTTCACCTCTCCACACCGTCTTGCCTCGCTGAGCCTCCACAGTTTTGTGTCCTCCAGTCTACCTCCTTCAGACAAACCTCTCTCTCTCAGCCCATCACTTCCTTGAGTTCTTTAATCTTCCGGAGACACCATGTCTCCCAAGGAATATAATCTTGTGATTGCCCCCTTCCCAGACCATCCTCCTCCACCTCCTCTCAAACCCAGACCTCTCAAGTCCTTTCTTTGATCTTTTAAAAAAAGCAGCTGCAGCTGGGAGCATGCACACCCCAAGGGTATGCCCACTCCCCAAGGTTAAGCCCCAAACCCAGGAATGCAGGCCCCCAGCCCCCTCCACCCTCAGACCCAGGAGTCCGAGCCCCCAGCCCCTCCTCCCTCAGAGCCTCAAGTCCAGGCTTATGGCCCCTTCCTCCCCCACAATTCAGGAATTGAGGTCAGCAACACCTTCACACTTTTTGCCCTGGGATGCGGAGTCTGACCCTCCCCCAGGCCTGGCCCCTGATCCCGAAGCTCTGGCCCAGGACTCAGGTATCCAGCTCCTGTCTTACCCCACCCAGCGCCCACCTGGCAGGAAAGAGGTTACGGAGGTTAAGCAACAACAGAAGATGACCGCCCCCCACCACCAGATCCACAGCCACCCCTGACGGATTTGCCTCCTGCATCCACCTTTCCACCTCCCCGTCCCCACTCTGAGCCAGCATGCTGGAGAAAGGGCAGGATGCTGGAGACCCCATCGCCCCAGCCTCAGTGCCCCTGTCACCCCAACAGAGGCCCTCCGCGGTCAGAGGACAGTGCGGAGAGACGCCGCTTCGGGAGGCGCACCCCCATGCCGGCACCTCACCCCAGCCTGCGGCGGTACTGCACCAAGGACCTGGACTCCCGGCGGCCGGGATCCTGGCTGCAGGCCGAGGTCCCTTGCCCATGTTGGGGCCGGACCCTCCAACCTCTGCCCCCAGAGCAGGGGAGCCTTTGGGCCCGCACCTCCCCCAGAAGTCGGGACCCCAGAGTCCGACCCCTCACCCCGTCAGCCTGGGGATCCAGCAGTCTGGAACCCGAGTCCCTTCTCTGAGAGGGTCTCAGGGGGCCCAGGAGTCCCGCCCTCTGCCCCCATCCCCCCTCGCCCCCACCCCGGGTGCCCCCTCCCCTGGCTCACCTGTCTGTCCTTTGCCCAGCGTCTTCTCCAGCCGATAGGGGCCCACATATTGGGCGTGCTGGGGTGGGTGTGGGTGTGGGTGTGGGAGGTGGTAGGCGGGGGAGCCCCCGCCCCCATCCTTGCCCCCGGACGACATGATGCCCTTGGTCCCGGCCCGACCGGCCCCCCGGCCGCCCCCCCTGCGGCCAGTCGCCCCGTCCCTCCGGTGGGGGCCGGCGACCGCTCCGTCCCGGCCCCCCCGGCTGCCCCCCACCTCTCCGGGGGTCCCCAGGGGGCTGGGCTGGGGCCCCCCCAGTCGGCGGGCCGCGGAGTTGGGGGAGGGGGGGCTGGCCCGGGGGGGACCCCCACGCGCCCTCTCTCCTCCGCCTCCTCCTCCTCTCCGCCTCCCCCCGCCACCTCGTCCTTTCTCTCCGGCACGCTGACATCACCATCCGGGGACTCCGGGCCCTTCCCCAAAGTTAACCCTTTCGGAGGGGGAGGGGGAACGGGGGCAGGGGGCGGGCCTGGGCGCCGGAGCTGCGGAGACGCGGTGGGAGGATGCTGGGAGCGACGGAAGGATGCAGGAGGGACCATGGAGCCGAACGAGCGGGACGCACAGGAGGGGCAGAGTCGGGGCGACACAAAGGGAGACGGAGCCGGACACGAGTGGGGAAAGAAGACAGACGGCACGGGAGACGGGGACCGGCAGAACCGGGGCTGGGGCCGGACAGGGAGACGGGGAGCCGCTCAGGCAGGCAGAGACAGGACAGAGCCAGGGGCAGCAGAGACACAGGGAGACGGAGGAGAGGGGAGAAGGTGCCTGCGAGAGACAGAGGGATGGAGAAAATCAGAGAGAGAAATGGAGAGAGATAGGGGAAGGGAAAGAGAGGTGGAGAGACAGGGGATGGGGGAAGGGGTGGTGGTGTTAGAGACACACAGATGGAGGGACGGCCGGGCAAAGAGATGAACCGAAAACAGAGCCAGAGACAGGGAGAGACTGAGCGTAATGGAGGAGAGAGACAGTGGTTGAGAGATGGGGAGAGAAATGGACAGAAATAGACGGACGGGGGCAGAAGGGGCAAGATACAGAGGTGGGGCACTGGGGGAAGATGACAGGAACGATGGAGGGTCAGAGAGAGGAGAAAAGTGGGAGAGAGAGGGAAACCAACAAGGGAGGAGGAAGAGCAGAGAGACAGGTGGACAGAGGGAAGACAGACAGACGGAGAGAGCGAGCGACAAATAAGCATAGGGCTGGGAACCCCAAAATATGGGGGATAAACACAGGTGGAGGTCTAGATGCTGGGGGGAGATAGGACAGATTGGAGGGACAGAGGAAAGAGGGAGACAGAAGCAGGAGAGGGAAAGAAGTTGGGGAGTTGCTGATCCAACGCCTGTCTCTGTTCCCCTTGACCCCCAATCTGCCCATCCCAGCCTCCTTTCCCACTAGCATTGGGGCCCCATATCCACCCACGGATCAGGGTGCATGTTTTTAAATATCTTGGATCCATACCTCCATTGAGAATACGCCACAATCCTCCTACAGAGAAATTTCCAGAACCCCTTGAGGTCCTTGTGAATTTTCTGGCCACTACCTATTCTCTGTGTCCACCACCAGATTCCCTAGTTCTTCATGGGGGCTCCACTATAATTATATGTCCCCAGTCTAGGTCATCCGTGTGCTATAATCATGTATCCCCACTCTAGGTCATCCATGAACCTGTGCACAGCTGGATTTCCATGTGACCTGGGATTCCGCTCTGTCAGATACCCAAGGATGTTAGGCCCCCGTTTCATCCCCAAGTCTCCTATAGAGTGTACCCAAGAGCCTTAAGTCCCCTAGTCAACCACTTTCATTCCATGATGCTATACTCCGTGCCGAATCTGAGCCAGACACTGTTCCAAGTGGTGAGGCTACAGCAGTGAACCAGGTCAACCAAGATCCTTGTCCCACGGACTGCTCATTGCGGTGGGTGAGGCCGGAAATAAGCAAGATAAACAATCAATATATATGTGGGGAATTCCTTGGCGGCCCAGTGGTTAGGACTCCGTGCTTCCACTGCAGAGAGTACGGCTTCCATCCCTGGTTGGGGAACCCCACAAGCTGTGAGGCCAAAAATCAAAGCAAGCGAACAAACAGAAGATATATGGTATGTTACAGAGTCATGATCAGTGACAAAGAGGAAACAAGGAAGGAGGGGGTCTTTAAATTTTTATCTATTTCTTGGCCGCACCGGCTCTTCATTGTTGCGCACAGCTTTCTCTAGCTGTAGTAGAGGGGGCTACTCTCTAGTTGCTGTATGCTAGCTTCTCTTGCAGTGGTTTCTCTCGTTTCAGAGCACCAGCTCCGGGCACACAGGCCTCAACAGTTGTGGCTCTTGGGCTCTAGAATGCAGGCCCAGCAGTTGTGGTGCACGGGCTTAGATGCCCCACAGCAAGTGGGATCTCCCGGACCAGGGATCAGACCCATGTCCCTTGCTTTAGCAACCACTGGACCACCAGGGAAGTCCAGGAGGTGCTTCTTGAGTGATTTTTCTATGTGATTTTCAGTTACAGTGCCAAGAGAGGCCTCCTCAGTGAAGGGACATTGAAGGAAAATGAGGCCATGTGGATTAAGCACCAGGAGCCTTCCAGGCAGAGGAAGCAGCTGTGCAAAGGCCCTGGGGCAGAAGTGTGCCTGGTGTGCAATGGGAAGGCTGAAGCATGGCTGGAGGGGCATAGTGGAGAGTGCAGTGGGAGGAAATAAGGTGAGGAAGGAGACCCAATAGGGCCTTAGAAACAGGGTGACCAGGGGATTTCCTGGTGGTCCAGTGGCTAGATTCAGCATTTTCACTGCTGGGGCATGGGTTGGATCCTGGTCAGGGAACTAAGATCCTGTAAGCCGTATGATGTAACACAAAAACAAGACAAAACCAAAAAAAACCAGGGTGACCATATGTCCTGGTTTATGTCTTTTATTCTGTAATTATTAATAGGGTCTGTTTTCACTCTCAAGTGTCTTGTGGATGAAAGATTATATGATCATCCTTCTTATTGGTCATTGTAAAGGCTATGGCTTTTATAGGGTACCTGGGGAGTTTTCATCTAGGCTACCATTGTATTACACATATGTTCATATGTGTAATGACATGTACAATTACATGCCACAGGTATATATACAGCATTATGTATCATAATGTATGTAAATCATATTATAGTTAGACTTTTACATACATGTACATAGGTACAGTAGGCTGCATGTGTGTGCTCAGTCACTTAGTCATGTCTGATTCTTTGCGACCCCACAGACAGTAGCCCACCAGGCTCCTCTGTCTATGGGATTTTCCAGGCAAGAATACTGGAATGGATGATCATTTCCTCCTCCAAGGTGGGGAATCTTCCCAACCTGTGGATCAAACCTGCATCTCCTGCATTGCAGGCAGAATCTTTACCACTGAGTCATCAGGGAATCGGAGAAGGCAATGGCAACCCACTCCAGTACTCTTGCCTAGGAAATCCCATGGACGGAGGAACCTGGTAGGCTGTAGTCCATGGGGTTGCTACAAGTGGGACAAGACTGAACGACTTCACTTTCACTGTCACGCATTGGAGAAGGAAATGGCAACCCACTCCAGTGTTCTTGCCTGGAGAACCCCAGGGATGGGGGAGCCTGGTGGGCTGCTGGGTATGGGGTCGCACAGTCAGACACGACTGAAGCAACTTAGCAGCAGTAGCAGCATCAGGGAATGCCCAAAGATGTCCACGTTGTAATTCTGTGAACCTGTGAATATGTCACCTTACTCAGCAAAAGGGTCTTTGCAGATGTGACGGAGCTGAAAATCTTAGATGTGCAAATTTTCCTGGTTATTACATTTGTGCCCTAAATGTAATCACAAACTTTCTTATGAGGGGGAAGCAGGAAGATCAGTCAGAGGAGGAGACGAGATAAGGAAGGAAACCGAAGCCAAAATGGGGACTTCTCTGGTGGTCCAGGGGGCTGGGTTCAATTTGAGGTTAAGGAAATAGATCCCAGATGCCTCAACCACAGTTAAGACCTAGGGCAGCCAAAAAAAAAAAAAAAGCAAAATGATGCAGCCACAAACCAAGGAATGTGGGCAGCCTCTAGAAGTTGAAAAAGGCTGAGAAACAGATTCTTCCCTGGAGCTTCCAGAAGGAACACAACCTTGATTTTAACTACTTGAACTCAGTGAGACCCTCGTTGGGCTTCTGAACTGTAAGTAGGCCATCAAGTTTCTCAGTAATCTGTTAACAGCAGATAGGAAATGGGAGTACCCAGGGGCCCAGATCCATGTCTGACAATCTTCCTCAGTGCCACACACTCACACACATACACACGTTTGGTCTTCCTATTTCTGTCCAAAAGATCTCCAGCACATCCCACACCCAGCAGTGCGCTCAATATACCTTTGATTGCGGGCCCCACCAAAGTGGAGTATAACCTTCTCCTAGAGTAGGAGGGCCTTGTACGGAAGACTAGAATTAGGATTTCTTTCAGCCTAGCCCACAGTCCCAGACCTGAACCCTAAATCTGGTGCAGGTAGGCCTCGAGCTGCCTGAACCACCATGCGCGGGCATTTTACCTCCCCGCTTCAAGAATCACCTCTGGCGCACCTCGCAGGACCCAGAAAAGATCCCACGAGGGAGACGCTGGGGGAACGCTAAGAGTGGTCTGCACCGGAAGTGCAGTGGGGAGAATGGGGAGCCCCCTACAAGGAAAGGGGAAATAGAGGCCAAGAGCGGTCTGGAATAGGCCAGACGCCGCCCGGCTCAGATATTAGTGCTAGCAACACAGGGAAGCCCAGGCAGAGTTCAAAGAGCCCCAAGGCTGCAGGACTCCAGCTGTTAGCTATAACGGGGTGGGGGGTGTGGGGCGGGTGGCCAGAGTGGGGCGGGGCTTAACGGGGAGCGACGGGCGCTCCGGCCCGCGGGGCGGGTCTTAGCTGGGAGTGGCCGAAAGCCCTGGAACAGGGGCGGAGCCTGAAGCGGCGGGGCGGGACTGAGCGCAGAACTAGGGCAGTGGGCGTGGGCGGGGCCTAGCCGGGGCGGAGCCGACCGGAGGGCGGGGCCTACGGGGCAGGGGTGGAGCTTGTAGTGAGGATGAGGAGGTGGGGCCTATCGGGGACGGGACCCGGGCCGGGGCGGGGCTTTGGCCGGGGTGTGCGCGCGCCGGGCGTGGCCCGAGCGAGGGGCCGGGCAGAGCCAGGTGTCCCGCCAGGTGGGAAGAACTTAAGAGCTCGGGGAATCCGCCTCACGGCTCCAATTGGTGTGACTGCGCCAGGAACTTCCGGGCTAGACCGTGCGTATTTCCGGTCAATATGGCGGCGCCCAGTAGAGTCAGGTGCGGGCGAGTCTATCTTCGGTAGCGGCGGCGACACGAGGCTCGGGGAGGTGAGGTCCGCCCCGCTCTGGCTCCCCTCGTCAGACAGGAGGGAGGGGACCTGTCGCTAAGATGACCAAAGGGAGGGCTTCTTGCTCTGAAGGCTGGCAGTGGGGTTGCTAAGAGATGGGAACGACCGCGGTGGAGATGGAGGAGGGGGTTGCTAGGGATAGTGGGTGGGGCCTGTTGCTAGGGAGGAGGGAGGGACTGCTGACTTTGGGGAGGGGGCCTGTTGGTATGAAGGAAGAAAAGGGGGCCAGGGTTAAAGGAGGTGTGGGCAGCGTGGTTTGGAGTCATGCGAGGCCGCCGAGCTCCCCTAAAACGCCACCTTCTCAGCAGACCCCCAGGAGTCGACCCGTCGGGACGCCGGAGATACTTCAGCGGTGACCACCCCCTACCCCAACACATTCTTGCTTGCTTCGCAAACTGCCCATGGCGAACCAGGGCTCCGGGGGCAGTCGCCTTCCCCTGGCTCTGCCCTCAGCCTCCCAGGATTGCTCGTCAGGGGGCAGCGGTTCCTCCGAGGGCGGCTCAGGCCATCCCCCGCCCCCGCGAAACCTCCAGGGCCTGCTGCAGATGGCCATCACGGCGGGCTCTGAAGAGCCAGACCCCCCTCCAGAACCCATGAGTGAGGAGGTAAAGGGCGGGGGCCCGAGAAGGTGGGGTGAGGGGTGTGGGAACAGAGAGATCCGGAGAGGGGCGGTCGTGCCGGTGTGAAGGCATAGGAGGCTGTATTTGTGCTCCATAGGGTTACTGTAGACTGAAAGTCAGATCCCGGGACCCTGCACTGTGCGGGAAGGCAGAATAACTTCATGGTAAAAAAAGAAAACGCCAAGGGCACCGCCATAGCGAGACAGACACGGCTTCAGTGTGTTACAGCTGTGTGACCTTGGGGGTATTAGTGCATCTTTCTGAGCATCAGTTCTCAATTACAAGTTGAAGTTGATGATAAGGAGAGTGGCCCTTCACAGGGTAGTTCTGAGAGTCCTGTTGAAGTGGGTCTCAACATCGCACCTGGCACACAGGCTGTGCTCCCGAAGGCAGCAGGATATTCTCATTAGGAACAGACTCGTAAGAGTTCTGTGGACAGACCATTTAGGTTTGACTTAGGCGTTGTGGTTGGCTGACTGTGTGACCTTGGGCAATTCACCCTTTTCTGTGCTTCCATTTTCTCATCTGTGAAGTGGGAATAGCAGTAGTATTAATACTTAACCATGGAAGGTTGTTCTGGAAGTCGAGAACAATATATGCTATATGTGATGTTTACTTGGCGGTGACGATTGCAGTGTATGAAACACGCTAATACAGTAACATCCATGAAGTTGTTGAACCTCTAGGACCACGATGTGGGCCAACAGGCACGGAAAAGAGTAACATCTTGCCCAAATTTATCCAGGACTATGACTTCAGATCCTTCATATGAGCACTTAGTACAGAGTCGGGCCAAAAAGAAAAAAAAAACCCAGTGGCCAGTTCTCAGTGCTTATCTTATTTGACCTACTAGCAGCATTCAATGACGACCCCGTCCCTTTGAGCTCTTTCTTCATTTGGCTTCTGGAACATGGACCAGCGTGGTTTTCTGGTTTTCATCCCACTCACTGGCTCTTTTTCCCCATCGCCTCTGTTGGTTCATACTCATTTTCCAGTCCCTCGACCATGGAGCATAGCAGCACTCTCTCTTCTACACTCACTTCCTGTGTGATCTCACGTTGGGTTGAGGTTTTACTCTGTTGACTCTCAAGTTTATATCTAGGCCAGTGGTTCTCTCCTGGAGGGACTGTTTTAACCACATTTGGCAATGGGCGGAGACATTCTTGGTTGTTGCAAACTGGCAGGTTGTGGGGGTGGAGGCAGTGCTGTTGGCATCCCGTGGGTGGAGGTCAGGGATGCGGCTCAGCGTGCTCCAGTGCACAGATGACCCCCACTGCAGAACGGTCCAGCTCAGGGTGTCAGTAGGGTCAAGGCTGAGAAATCCAGGTCCAGGCTGGCCCTCCTTCCTGAGCTTCAGGCATCCTTCTCAATATTTTGCCTTGTGTGTGTCATGGATCCCTCAAACTTAACAAGTTCAAAAATGAGCACCAATTTCTACTCGTCTCACTCCACACCTGCTTCTCTTGCCATCTGCCCTGTCTCCTCCTAGTTGTTCAGGACAAGAACCTAGGTGTTGCTGGCCCTTCTTTTCCCGTCACGCCCCACAGCCAGTCTCTCCATAGATGCAGTGTCCAGAAGAGAGTGTTAGTGGGAAAGGTGCCTGGGAGGTGTCTGTTGAGGAGTTGAAGGACACTCCGCCCTCAGTTTTGGCAGTTACTATTATTTTTTCCTTTGCCCGTGCCTCTTGGCATGGGGAACTTCCCTGACCAGGGATCAAACCTGTTTCCCTTGCAGTGGAAGCGCCAACTCTTAACCAGTGGACCGCCAGGGATGCCCCAGCTGTTATTAGTAATGACTGTTACTCCTGCCTGGAGAATCCCAGGGATGGGGGAGCCATCTGTGGGGTCACACAGAGTCAGACACGACTGAAGCGACTTAGCAGCAGCAGTTACTCCTGAGTCGATGATTGATAAGGTTTGCTTCTCTCTCCCACCCCGCCTCATCCTGTAGAGGCGCCAGTGGCTGCAGGAGGCCATGTCGGCCGCCTTCCGGGGCCAGCGGGAGGAGGTGGAGCAGATGAAGAATTGCCTCCGGGTGCTGTCCCAGCCCACGCCGTCCTCGGCTGGCGAGGTTGAACTGGCCGCTGACCAGCAGGAGCGCGAGGGAGCCCTGGAGCTGCTGGCGGACCTGTGTGAGAACATGGACAATGCAGCAGGTACATCTAGGCCCACCCCGGCCTGCCCCCACCGCCAGGGTCCTGCCCTGCCTCCCTGTCTGCCTCTGTCTCTTGCTGCCTCTTCCTTCTCCCCCCCAGGTCCTGCTGCAGCCCAGTCCTTTGTCCTTTGCCTCAGTCACCATGCAACCCACCTCCTCCCCAGCCTCCCAGCCTCCCCACTCCAGTCTGGCTCTGACTCAGGCCCCAGTTGAGACTGCCCTGTGCCTCCTTGCTTGGTCTGCCTGCCATCAGGGGCAACGATGGCACCAGGTCCCGTCCACTGCCTCCCTGATGGGACTGACCATCTCACCCTGGTCCGCCGGGAGCCCCATGGCATTCCCCAGAGTAAGAGACATGAGGTGGTCCTAGATGGGGTGGTCAGGGAACGCCTCCCCGAGGGGTAACACGTGATCAGGGACCTGAAGGGAGGCCGCAAGTCATGGGATCAGCTCCGGAAAAAAGTATCCCAGGCAGAGGGAACGACCCGTGCAAAGGCCCTGAGGTGGGAACCTGCCTGGCCAGGGTGGGAATAGCAGTGAGGTGGGCAGAGCGGAGTGGAGTGAGTGAGGGGCGAGGACTGGGCAGTGACCTGCGCTGGGCATACAGCGGCTCCCAGGCCAAGGCTGGTGCTGTGAGTTTCATCTCAAAAGGCTGAGAAGCCGCTAGAAGGATGAATTGCCACTTCCACTTAGAGTGGTGTGGCGTGGCGTAGTTATTGAGGATGTGATTTGTCTGTTCTGGACATTTTATGTATGAGGGATAGTAGAATTTGTGACCTTTTTGCTACATGCTTCCTCCTGCAAGTGTGATATTTTCAAGGTTCTTGCAGATCGTAGCTGTATCAGAAATTTATTCCTTTTTGTAGCTAATATACTAGTGTGTAGCTAGGCCATGTGCCGTTCATCCATTGATGGACATTTGGTCATTTCCCCCTTCGGTTATTGTAAATAATCTTGCTGTGGAAACTGGGGTACAAGCAAGCATCTGTTCCAGTTTCTGCTCTTGAGGCTTGTGGATACATATGTTGGAGTGGTCACATGGTAACTCTCTTTCACTTTCTGAAATACAGCCAGGCTGACCAGTTCAGAAAACAGGTGTTGGGCTGTAGACTGCAGACCTCTGGTGTGGTATGGTCTGTTTCCCCAGGGGATGTTCAGATTGTCACAGACTGGGTGTCAGAACTGGCATTTGGTGGGCTGGACCCTAGGCCCCTGACCTTGTTGAGACACACTGGCCTTGGACAGACCCCCAGTTGGGTGCCTGGGGAGGGCCAGCCCTTGGAGGCAGGCTCCCCTCAGCTTCAGCCGGTTTTCCTTCCATTCTGGCTGCCCTAACAAAGCAGCATGGACTGCGGGGCTTCAACACCAGGAATCTGTTCTCTCACAGCTCTGAAGGCTGGAAGTCTAAGGGTCAGTTTCTTCTGAGGCCCCTCTCCTTGGCTTGTATGTAGGGAGCTTCTCGCTGTGTCCTACATGGTCATCCCTCTGTGCCTGTCTGTGTCCTAGTCTCCTCTTTTTATAAGGACACCATTCCAATTGGATTAGGGCCCTATCCTGTGACATTATTTCACCTTGTATGCATGTATCCTGAGTCGCTTCAGTTGTGCCAGACTCTTTGCGACCCCATGGACTGTAGCCCACCAGGCTCCTCTGTCCATGGGGATTCTCCAGGCAAGAATACTGGAGTGGGTTGCCATGCCCTACTCCAGGGGATCTTCCCCACCCAGGGATTGAACCTGTGTGTCTGCATTGACAAGTGGCTTCTTTGCCACTAGCGCCCCCTGGGAATCCCCTGGGGGTTGGGGCTTCCATGTAAATCTGGGGGTAGGACTCAGCTCAGCCTGTCACAGCTGGCCTGCCTGCTGCCTTCTCCCCTCAGACTTCTGTCAGCTGTCGGGCATGCACCTGCTGGTGGGCCGCTACTTGGAAGCGGGGCCGGCGGGGTTGCGGTGGCGGGCGGCGCAGCTCATCGGCACGTGCAGCCAGAACGTGGCGGCCATCCAGGAGCAGGTGCTGGGCCTTGGCGCCCTGCGCAAGCTGCTGCGCCTGCTGGATCGGGACCCCTGTGACGCAGTGCGCGTCAAGGCCCTCTTCGCCATCTCCTGTGAGTGTCCCGGTCACGGGGGTGGGGAGTGGGATCGCTCTGCTTAGCGAGTGGACCCTTGGGACGAGGGGCGAGGCCCAGAACTCTGAGGCCCCTCAGGGCTGTCAGCTGCCGCGCTGTGGACGTCCGGGCTGATCAACCCCGTCACGGGGGTCCTCGGGCGGGTGGGGAGTGGGTTCCTCAGGTGGGAGGGTCCTCGGGCTGGGGGGGCTGCAGGAGTGTCCTGACAACGTGGCAGTCCACTTCTGCAGAGAACATATGCAGTCCTGGACACCCCACAGGCGCTCAGAAAGTAATGCCTCTTATTCATTTTTTTTGGTGCTTCTTAAAACCCACCCCTGCCCTGTCCTCCCCACTGCCTCACTGGTAGCCACTACATTTGTGAGTCTCCTGTTTGGTTACATGCAGTAGTGGTTTTACTTCTTAGATTCCACACATAAGTGATAGAACACAGTATTTGTCTTTCTCTGTCTGACTTCCCCAAGCCTAAAACCTCCAAGTCCATCCATGCTGTTGCAAGTGACGAGATTTCATTTTTCTCTCTTACGGCTGAGGCCTTTTATCTTTTAGAAACTGATGTAAAATTTGCATAACTATTTTAAAGTGTACAATTCAGTGGCATCTGTGGTCTTTTTTGGGGTGGTGGGCATGGTTGCGGGGTACACCGTCCTGCAGCATGTTCCATCTGGAAAGTGCCTGGTACTAGCCAGCCCTGGGGCTACCAGCCGCCTTGGTGGTTGGTCTCCTGACTGCTCCTGCTGCCGGGTGCGCGGAGGCTCACAGCGGTTGACCCTCTGGCAGCAGACCAAGAGGGGTCAGATGGCGGAGGACTGGGTGTGGTGAGGGGGAGGGGAGTGCCCCGGGAGATGTGGCTCCAGGCTCCTGGCACCGGCTGGGCTCAGGCCCGGGGTGCCGCTCAACCCCCTCCAGTGCACAGCGCAGCCCCGGGACACAGGGAGTGGACCCAGCGGAGAGGCCCCCGAGTGGAGGGGAGCCGTTGCCCCTGGATATGACCTCACGGCAGAGCCAATAGGCTGTGCCCACTGAGCAGACGCGGAAGGTCATCAGGTCTACCTCCCCATCTGCTGGTCTTTTTTTTTTTTTTTTAAACTGAGTAACAGTTTATTTAACCCCACATAGCCAAACTATTATTGTTTCAGCCCATCGTTATGTGGCATGTTAATAAGCTACTTTAGATCTTTTTTTTTACCCCCCCACATTATGTCTTTGAAACCTGGTGTGTATCCTACACCTAAGCATCTCAACTCAGGCTACATTTTCAGCGGTCAGCATGGAGCGAAGTTCTAGTGAAGGGACAAAGTTGTGCTTCATGGGAAAATATCATACCACCGCTTCACCGCTTAACTTTAAGTTGAAATGAATGAAACTCAACTGAGATTAATAACTCAGGTCCTCAGGGGCACTTGTCAGGTATTTAGTGGCCACGGGTTTCTGGAAACTCCCGTCTGTCTTGGCCTAGACCCTGCCCAAGGGCGGGCACCTAACTGGAAGTGCACCCTGCAGGCTGGTTCTCATCGTGCGTGGAGGCCGTGCAGGATTCCTGGCACCCTCACGATGTAGTCTGGCTCTCTGCTCTTAGTTTCCTCATCAGTAAAATGGGAGTCACCTCCTAGGGTGGTGTGGAGAGTTAAAAAGAGATAATGTGCTCATCAGAGGATGCAAGAACAAAATGGATATTCATACAGTGGGTACTGTTCAGCCATTACAAGGAAAGAAGTTACTGATTCATGCTGTAACCTGGATGAGCCTGGAAGACATTATGCTGAGTGAAAGAGGCCAGGCACAGAAGGCCACAGAGTGTATGATTCCATTCTTGTGAAATGTGTGGGATGGGCAAATCCATGGAAAGCAGATCAGTGGTTGCCCGTTGCCGGAGAGGCCACTAACCAGTACAGGGCTTCTTTTGGGAGTGATAAAATCATTCTGTTGTTAGATAGTTATGGTCAGCCAACCTTGTCAATATACTGAAAACCACTGAATTGTATACTTTAAAAAGGTAAATTGTACAGGCTATGGAATTGTGTCTCAGCTAAAAATATTTAAAGGTAATGCTTACGAAGCATGGACCCATAGAAATCCACGGTGGTGATGATGGTGATGGTGGTGAGAATGGTGGTCCAGAAGGTGATGATTGTGGTGTTTATGGTGGTGGTGGTGATGGTAGTGGTAGTGATGATGGTGATGAGGGTGGTGGTCTTGCAGGTGACGGTTGTGGTGTTTATAATGATGATAGTGGTGGTTGTGATGGTGGTGGTGGTAACGACTGGTGTTTCTAGTGCTGATGGTAGTGGTAACGATGATGATATTGGTGGTGATGATGGTGACTGGGACCTCAAGGCCCTGCCTCCCCCCTCCCCAGGCCTGGTCCGGGAGCAGGAGGCCGGGCTGCTGCAGTTCCTCCGCCTGGACGGCTTCTCCGTGTTGATGCGGGCCATGCAGCAGCAGGTGCAGAAGCTCAAGGTCAAGTCGGCGTTCCTGCTGCAGAACCTGCTGGTGGGCCACCCTGAACACAAAGGTGGGGCGGCCCGGGCGGTGAGCTAGGGTGGCTCCCGGGGGAGTGTACAGGAGGATAGCTACTCCTCTGACCCTGTGGCTCTTCCCCAGGGACCCTGTGCGCCATGGGCATGGTCCAGCAGCTGGTGGCCCTCGTGCGGACAGAACACAGCCCCTTCCACGAGCACGTGCTCGGAGCCCTGTGCAGGTGCGCTGTGGCCCCAGGGGACCGGCCTGGTAGGGGATGAAGGGTTTAGGGTCAGAGAGGAGCAGAAACCAGGGTGCTGGTCCTCCCGGAGTCTCCGTCTCCTCACTGTGGGGGCTGACACAGCAGCCTGGGGAGGAGGGAGACAGTCTTCCTCCCACTCACTCCCCCCATCCTGCACATAAAGCACAGGCAGGTTAGAGACGTAAGACAGCAGAATGGAGCAGCCGAGCAAGCGGGCAGCAATGTTCATGTGTGGAGTGGGCTCCAGGCCAGGCACTTTGCTAAGTGCCCTGTTCCGTATGAGTCTCATCCAAGTCCCTTGGGTAGGATGGGGGCAGAAGTCCACATTGCAGACGGGGAAACTGAGGCCCAGTGGGGGGGCGGCAGCTTGCCCAGGCTCGGTGTGGGGGGGGGGGGGGGTGGAGGGCAGCTGGGCAGGGGGAGGTCCCAAGGACGGCTGTCCTGTCCCTGCAGCTTGGTGACAGACTTCCCCCAGGGCGTGCGGGAGTGCCGAGAGCCCGAGCTGGGCCTGGAGGAGCTTCTGCGGCACCGGTGCCAGCTGCTGCAGCAGCACGAAGAGTATCAGGTACTGCTGGGGGCGGGGAGGGCCAGCCTGGCACCTGCCTTCTAGGCCTCTGTGGTCTATTCGCCCTTGCTTTAAAAAAAAAAAAAATTATTTATTTTTGGCTGTGCTGGGTCGTTGCTGGGCAGGCTCTTCTCTAGTTGTGGCGAGCAGGGGCTCCTCTCTACTTGTGGGGCGCAAGATTCTCACTGCAGTGGTTTTTCTTGTTACAGAGCACATGCTCTAGAGCATTGGCTCAGTAGTTGTGGCTCACAGGATTAATTGCAGTACGGCATGTGGGATCAGCCCGGATCAGGGATCGAACCCATGTCTTCTGCACTGGCAGGCTGATTCTTAACCGCTGAGCCACCAGAGAAGCCCGATTTGCCCATGCCTTTGTTTACACCTTATTTCCAATTCATGTGTTTCTCTAGGCAGCATTCAGCACATATTTATTGCCCCCTTCCCACATGCTTCATGCTCTGTTAGCATCAGGGGGACGGCAAGGAGAAACAGCAGCTCAGGGTCTCTTAAAGTTAACAAATTAATCTAATTAGTATCCAAATTAATATTATTTATATCATATCATTCAAATACGTATTTATTAGATTGATAAATAATAAGTAAATGATAAATAGCAACCAGTTAAAATTGAATTAAATAGATAAGTAAGAAATATGTGATAAATTACAACTCATTAACTTTTTAATTAAAGGATAAATAAATTACAAATAATAACTCACCAGATGGTTAAATAGATAAGTAACAAATAAGTGATAACATAACTCAGATATTTAATTATATAGAAAGTAATGTGATAAATAACCACTCAGATAGTTAATTAAATAGGTAAGTAACTAGTAAGTGATAAGAGCAACAAATAACATATTCAGTAGTTATTTAGTTACTTAAATGACTAAGTAATTTAGTTAACTGTCCTTAGTAATTTATTCAGCCCTTATGATACCACCCAGATGCTGTTGCTTCAGCAAAGCTGGACACAGAAAACGTGCCACCCTCTTGGGACGTACCTTCTGCTGAGATCATGCTTCTGTGAACACTGTCAGGCATTTCCAGAGGGGTCCTGGGTACTGGGTGTGAGGAGCAGGGGTGACTGGGAGAGGCACAGTACCCACCCCCTAGGGGCTTGTCCTCTGATTTGGCACATGAACTGGTGGAGATATGTGCCTGGGAGTGAGCAGGGGACCCCCTGCCCTGGTCTGTCCTGAAGTTTCAGCCGGTCTTGCTTGATGCATCCATGCATCTGTTCTCTTAATCTCTGGTGTGCTAGACCTTGGTACCTGACCATGAGCACCAACCTGGTGAGGGAAGCCTCATGTGAACTGGGCAACATGCCCACTTTTTGTTTCCAAAAAAAATTTTAACAGCTTTATTGACGTTTAACTTACTCTATTGAAAGTGTACAATTTGAGAAGTTTTGACATATGTATACACCTGTGGAAACCTTCATTTTTCCATCGGGGTGGGAGGGAAGAGGAGCCGTTTCTGGGTGCAGAGCTGGTGGAGGCAGGGTCTGGCCTCTACACTCAGGGCTTCCAATTTCCCACCCCAATGCAGGAAGAGCTGGAGTTCTGTGAGAAGTTGCTCCGGACCTGTTTCTCCACCCCAACTGATGACAGCATGGATCGGTGAAACCCGGTGGCTTCTCTCCCCCTCTTCATGGGAACCCCAGCCTCCTGCCTTCCCCTCACCCATGAAGCCCTCTCCCAAAGGAGAGAAGGGCCTTGTTGGTGCCGTGCCCGGGCGTGTCACCTCTCTTTACTCATCCCCCAGGGTGGATGCTGAGAAAGGCGCTGGCTCCTTGGATCCCGCCTCTCATGCACTCTTATCCACTCCCCCTTCTCATGTCCACACTGCTCTTCCAGTAAAGGTGTTCCTCCTCCACTTCCTTCACTGCCACCTTTGTCACCTCGCCTGGAGAGTGCCTTGGTAGGGGAGGAGGGGCACAATCAGGGGATCTAGGGAACCAAGGAGGGAACAGCAATGGGCGGAACCTTGGAAAAATAAAAATGTTGCTCTCTAAAGTCCGGAGCCATTGTCTTTAATCCTCCCATCATCTCTGGAGAGGGAGTGTGTGGGATACTCGTCCTTCTCCTTACCCGCCTCCCACCATCTCTGATAGCTTCTCTGAAGAAATATACTTTTGACATTCACGCTTCCGCGTCTAAGGTGGAAGCCATGTTCTTTCCCAACATGCAGTGTGGCGTGGCTTCTGCTCCACCAGTCAGAGCTCGCCGCCCGCAGGCTCGGAACCACCGCTGGAGAAGGCGGGAGCAGGTACTGGAGGCGGCAGGACACCTCCCACGACAGCAATGGAGGCCACTCTGGGTGCCTGGGGTAGGCTTGAGTTGGGTGTGTGCTTCGTCCTGACAGGAAAGCACTAGGCCTTTTCTCCAGCCTTCTCTGAGATTGGGGAGCAAACAGGGGACAGGGAAACTGCCTCCTCCTTTTATAAATTCCTTTCGTTTAACCAAAGAGCTTTCCATTACAACCGAGTCTTGACTGATGGTTTATTTGAGACGAGGAAGTGGAGCCCAAGGTGGCTGATCTTGTGGTCAAGTTCATAGCCAAAATTTATACCTGGGCCAATCCGAAGCTGTGTCACTCCCTGTATTCTGGCTTCCTAGCCCCATTTAATACCAGACTATTTCCTCTCCTGTGGAATTTGGTTGTGTGAGAGAGGTTGATTACATTTTTCACTCCCCAAATTCAGAATAAATCAAAAGGTAGCTACAGGATCCGAGAATTGGAGATCAGATGTCACTTGTATCATTTTTAGAGCAGATTTGAGAAATTTGAGCATTGGTCTTGCTGCCTCTTCATCCCCGCATTAGACATGGTTGTCCGACTGGTCACAGGCAGTACTGGACAAGCGCAATCCTTTCCCTTAGCTGCAGGCAGCAGGCCAGAACACTGGGCAGGATGGCTCCAAGAGGAGAGAGCTGGAGGACTGAGCGCAGATGCCCATCCCATCTGGTAAATCATTCCTCAGCCCCTGGGAAGGGTGGAGACGAAAGGGAAGAGACTGTAAGAAGCAGAAGTTTCTCCAGGTGGAAACTTGTAAGAAGCTCCTTCCAATTCTAATACAGATCACAGCATCATCTGCCTGTGAATTTGGACAAAGTGAAGACTCAGACTTCTGTCCTAAACCTCTGCAGTTTCCCAGGTTCTTGGAGGAGACTGACTTTGTCAGCTTCTCAGGTTCCATTTGGTGATTGAATATGGCCAACCTCCTGCCCCTCAGTTCCCAAGTTTATGTGTTAAAACAGCGTGGGAACTTCAATCACATTCCGGGGCGGGGGGCGGGGAGGTGGAGGGTAGTGGGGTGGGTGTCGGTGTGGGGGAGGCAAGCAAAATGCTGCTCATATGACAAAAGAACCTGATGTAGAAAATCACTCAAGGAACAGAAGGAAATGTCTCACAATTGCTTTAAGCTCTGTAACAATAGGAACCTGGGTCCATTTTAAAACAAGACCTCAAAGATGAGAAGGTAAGATTAGCAAACCTAAAGAAATAAATTGAGGACTGTGGCAATTAATTAGAGGGTTTAACAGGTTATCTGCTTCCTCTCATGCCACCTCCAAGAGAGAAGTACACTTTCCCATACGGTGGTGGCTGAGGTGTAGGTGCTAGCCCCATGACTTGGGTTTGACCGTGTGACTTGCTTTGGCCATTGGATGGTGGCAGATGTGAGGCAACCTGAGGTTTGAAATTGTGCTAGCACATTTGGGCTTGGTCAAGAGTCGTCGGACAACTTGCGACTGAAAAACTGAGGTACCTCTGCCTTTTCCTGTGGGATAGTAGCCTGGGATGACCACTGGTGTCCAGAGTATGAGAGACAAAGGGGAATAGAAGCAGCCCCACCAACCTTCACACCTGCAGCTCTAAGCCGTGAACACGACAGGCTGTGGCTGCCTGTCGATCAGCAGTAGCCAAGAACATCGCATGCAACAGACACTGGAAATAGCAAGGACCGGAAAAGACTTGGCTGGAAAATGACTTTACTGACATGTGGTAATCAGCAAATGCAGGTAGAAATGACAAGGATTAAAGCAAATAGAAGCTAACAGATGTGAAGCACAAACGCATGATTGACATCCTTCAAATAGAGAACAAACTAGAATAGGATTCAATAAGAATGTCCCTGAAACGGGAAAGGTAAATCTGCGTGTGTTTTTTTTTTTTAAGCCGAGTCCTTACAAGCTCGCACAGCGCCGATTCTGGCCTGTATCATGGAAAGCAAGGGCTATGAAAACTGAGGAAACGGAGGCTCCCAGCTAGATGGGATCTTAAAGACTATGGATCTCCTAGACTTATGTTAGAGGATACTTGTGCAGCAGCTGCAACACGGGCTGGGCGAAGGCCTAGAAATGGGACTGAAGTCAGCCTGAAGCTCAGAGAAGGCAGACGTCGAGAAAGATCGCGGCGGGACAAAAGCTCCTGGTCGGGGTTGGAGACAAAACCCTAGCTGGATTTCTCAGGAAACGACCCTGGAGCCAAAGCAATAATGTGATTGGAGGAAATAGACTAGCAAGTGGATGTCCAAAAGGGGGCGAGGGGATAGAGAAATCCTGGATCAGGGTGGGCTTAGGAACGGAGTCGCAGAGAAACGCTGCCAGCGTGTGCAGCGGGGCTTGCGCGTCGGGTGGCCCGGGTTTACTCAGGGAGAGACCGTTGGCACAAACCTGCGCGAGCGCTTTTGCGGCGGAGTTGCTCGGGCTGGGCGTGGCCCGGCGCGGCTGGTCCGGCGCGCACGCGCACTGCAGGGCCCGGGCGCGCGGCCTCCACACACCTGCGCAGCGAGTCGCCGGCGGGAGGGCGGGGCCTCCTGCGTGCCCCCGTACCAGGGGGATTGTGGGATACTGACGGACGGAGCCGGGCGGCGGAGGCCCTGAAGCCGACTGCAAAGGCCCGGGACCTCGCGGCTTTGGGGAAGGGGGCGGTGGAGGAAGTGGGCCTCGGCTTCCGTCAGCCGTTGCTCAGCACTGCGGCCTGTTGGGACCGCGGAGTAGGACGCCTTTCCTGACCAGCCCTTGCTTTCTCGCGGGGCGCCGGGCCGGGTAAACCGGGGCGACTTCCCAGCCGAGGGCCTACGCGGGCCTCGCGACCCCACCAACCTCCCTCAGCCACCTCGCCCGCGGGCCCCGGACCCCCGCCCGTCCGGCGCTGACCCCGGACGTTCCAGAGTTCAAAACTCTGGAATTCGTCGCTCGAGGGCCCCCCTAGGCCCGAGACGCGTGCGCGAACCCCGGCGCAAAGCGCGAGCCCCCGCCGCTGCCCCCCGCCCCCACATACCGGGTCCCTGATCGGGGCCGGAGCCGCCGGTGGCGGGGCGGGGGGGGCGCCCCGATGAGCCCGGAGTGCGAGGAGCCGCCGCCCCCCCGCGCAGGTAAGCGGGCGGCCCAGGACCCTCCCCGCAGTCTGGGCACCCGAGCCACCTCCCCGCCCCCGAGAACACCGCCCAGGTACTCTCGAGTCTCCTCACCCCTTCTCCTTCGGACCCTTCCCTTTGTCCATGAGGGCTACCCAGCCCTGGTGTCTCCCCCTCAGCCCCTTGATTCTCTTAGTTTCTCCTCCTCAGCCTCTCGACTCCTAGTCTCTCCTCTCAGGCTACTGCGTTTCCCCTCAGCCCACCAAGACTCCAGGTCTATCTCCTTCAGCCCTCCCAAGTCTTTTAGTCTCCCCCCGCTCCGACCCCAAGTCTCTTAGTCTTTCCCCCTCTGCCCCCCAAGCCTGTTAAGTCTCTCCTCAGCCCTCTAAGTCTCCCCCTTCAGGCCCCTCAAGTCTCCTAGTCTCTCCCTGTCAGACCCCCAGTCTCTTAGTCTCTCCCCCTCAGCCTTTCAAGTTTCCTAGTCTCTTCCTCTCAGACCCCAAGTCTCTTAGTCTTTACTCCTCGGCCCCTCAAGACTCCAGGTCTCTCCCCTTAGCCCCCCAAGTCTCTTAGTCTGTTCTCAGACCCCAAGTTTTCCCCTCTCAGGCCCCTCAAGTCTCCTAACTTCTCCCCCCTCAGCCCCCCAAGTTTCCTAGTCTCTCCCCTCAGACCCCCAAGTCTCTTGGTCTCTTCCTCAGCCCCCAAATCCCCTAGGCTCCCCCTCTCCAGCCCCACTTCCTTCCCTTCTCAGTCTGTACCCCTGCCTCAGTGTCTCTTTCCCACCTCCCCTGTAGCTCCTGACTCCCACCCTCGCCTCCTTAGATTCTGCGAGCTTCCCCTCTGGTTTCTTAGTCTTCCCCCTCCGACCCCTGGGGCTCCCCCTTCTCTCTGCTCCTCCCACCCTGCCCTGCTCGGGGCCCCTTCCCCGGCCACCCTTGGCCTTCCTCTCCCTGCCTCACCCCCTCCTCCCGAGGCCTGCCTGGGAGATCCATGGCCTCGGACTGGCACCCTGGGGCTCAGGAGACTCGAGGAGCGGGGCTTCCCCCTCACCCTGCCTGGGGTGCAGCCCCTCTCTGTGAGGTGAGGCCTGCTGAGGGCCAGCAGGGGCCTGGTGCCGGTGTGGAGGGAGGGCCGGAGGGAACAAAGGCCGGGGGGCAGTCACAATTGCCGGTGTGGTGAGAGGGTACCTCAGGGCGCTGTGGGGGCCACCGCGGAGCGACCGGGGAGACTGGCTCCGCGGGTGGCTTTTTCTGTCGAGGAAGGATGAGTAGGAGTTGACAGATGGAAAGTGGGAAGAAGGGCCTTCCGGGTGGAAGGAACAGCACATGCAGATACATGAAGGTGGGAACCCAGCCCCGCGGGCTGCGGGAGAGAGGGGCGGAACGCCCCGCTGGGGCTGCTCACCGGGCCCTGGAACGTGGCGGCTAGGGTCTGTCTTGCTCGGTGATTTACATACTCGGACATCTGTGCTGAGGACACAGACGTTAGTTACCCATCACACCAGCCTGAAAGGCAGGATGTTTCTGGAAGGAAGATGTGTTGTCAGGTGTGGGGCGGGCTTCAGAGTTGCAAAGACACTTCCGTGGGGTGTGGAGAGGGCGGTTCTGGGGATTCCGTGTGCGTTTGTAGAAGCCCGCAGCACAGGAAGTGCTC